CTTGCCAATAAGACAATTCACGGTTCTAGTAGAGGGAGACCTGGATTCTAATTATTGATTGGTTCCTCTGCCCACATTTATTCAATCCACTTCTTCTTAAAGCATTTATTAAGCACTTACTATGTGCCATGCAACTTCTGAGCACTTGGATTATTTCATGTCATCCTCACAACAACCCTGGAGGTGGGGGGAATGCTAGTAATTATCTGAGGCTGGATTTGAACCCAGGTCTTCCTGACTCCAGGCCCAGTGTTCTATCCACTGGCTACCTGGCTTCCTCAATTCAGTTCCTTAATTCAGTTCAATTCAGCAGATACCATTAAGCCCTGAAAGGCAATGTGACTTAGAATACACAAAGCTTACCTTCCAGTTAGGAGGTCCTGAGACACCTACTGGTTATGTGACCCTGGACAAGCCATTTACCCTTTCAATCTGACAGACAACTCTCTAAGACTGGTGCCTGTTTGCACTGATAGAGGGAGTTCCTACTGCAGCTATCTATCTGTTCTGCAATTTATCATCTTTCAGAGTTCCCTGGGGCCACTTTGAAATTAAGTTAAGTTAAGTTAAGTTAAGTTAAGTTAAGTTAAGTTAAGTTAAGTTAAGTTAAGTTAAGCCCAGAGTCACACAGCCAGTGTATGTCAGAGGCAGGACTTCAACCCAGGTTTTTAAGAGAGTAAGAATTATTGCATTCTTTGTATTTGTATCTCTAGCACCTAGGACAGTACCTGGCATATGATTAAGCAGTTAATAAATGATTGTTGATTGGTTGACCCTTACTCTATGTCTGTCTCTTTATCCAGTACGCCATTCTGCTTCTCTGGAATTCTACTGAAACACAGTACTTGCATACAGTAGGTGCTTAACAAATGTTGTTTATTCATACAATACTCTCGTGGATCTGTGTTCTCATTAATAAGGGTATTCCCTTGAATGACACACCATGAGACTCAGTTTCCTTTCCACCTAAGTCTACCCATCTTAGTGTCTATGTCCTCCAATAAGTCTGTGACAGAGGTCAACTCAACATGCTGGGGGCATGTCTTGACGTTGTGTAGACACCAGTGGAATATACAGGCTATTACCCAAATGGAGGGGATGCGAAGACAAATGCCTCAGAGGGTGCCAGAAGCATCCAACTATTCTCTAGGGGCACCACGGATAATGACATGATCCTCAAGGAGACAAGAGAAGGGCTTCAGTTTAAAAATCAAGAATGAAAAGTATATGAAAAATTGAAGGGAAGAAGGTAAAATGACACAGGGACCCTAACCACAAGATCCTTCTCCTCTTGTCCCCACTTTTACCCAGCAATACAGAGACACATTTTTACTGCTAGGACCAAGAGATAGAGCTGGAAGTATTCTGTTCTATTTATTTAGGAGGTGAACTTTTCAGGCAACTGAAGTCAGTTTCACGTGATTTGAGAGATAGGAACTGGATGGACCTATGATTCCATTGCTATAGGAAACTCCTTCAACCAATTCAAGTTGGTATCTTCTTTGCAATTTATAAGTACTGAGAGGATGTGACATTCCCAGGGTCACACAGCCAATATATATCAGTGGCAAAACTTGAATCCAGGTCTTCTCAGCTCTAGCTCTCTATCCATTAAACCAGAGCTGCTTCCAGTGACTCTAATATCTTCTTTATAGATGTTTCTTCAGCAGTAGCATGTCCTCAAATTGCTTCAATCATAGACATAGAGCTGGACGTGGAGACCAGCTTAGGTAGTCAGCTAGGTAATGCAAGCACTGGACTTGGAGTCTGGGCAACCAAAGTTCAAATCCAGCCTCAGACACTTACTAGTTGTCTAACCCTGGGCAAATCATGTAACCTCTGTCTGCCTCAGTTTCCTCATCTGTAAAATGGGGGTGATGATAGCACTTACCTCTCAGGGTTGTTATAAAGATTAAATGAGATAATATGGCAAAATGGTTTGTAAACATTAAAAGTTCTATACAAATACTAGCTATTATTAGTTATTATTAAGAGATCTCAGGGACCACATCTTAAGAGATCTCAGGGACCACATCGTCCAAACCCATCATTTTAAAAATGAGGAAAATGACATCCAGAGAGGGAGTATAGAACCATAGACATAGATCTAGAAGGGACTTTAGAGACCACCTAGTTCAACTCCCTCTATTTAGAGATGATGTGACTTATCCAAGGTCACACAGTCTGAGGCAGGATTCAAATTTAGATCTTACTCATCATAAGCCTAATATTCTACTGAAATGCCTCTCATGTATATGATTTTTTTTTTTACAACATCAGTATTACTGTATCATCACCAGCAAAGCCACACCTTTTTTTTTTTTGCTAAATTGCAGGCAGTGTTCAAAATTAATCTTGGAATTGCTGTGGCATACATATTGTTTGAAAATGCCAAGGACAATCAATAGTAGTTCTTGGAGAGCAATCAGCCCGATAATTCTATGAGATCATTAAACAAATATTATTTCAGTTAAAGATCATACCACATTCCATTCAAGTAAGATAAAAGATTTTTTAAAAAATACCAGTTTTTTTCTTTTCTAAATTTTTAATTTTTTTTTTAAATACCAGCTTTCAAAAAAAATCCAAAAACAAAAACTAGCTGATGTGTTTTCTCCTGGCTTGACTTTCTTCAGGTGCCAGCAAAAATCTCATCTCCAAGAAGCTTTTCCCAATCCCTTTTAAGGCTAGTGCCTTCCCTTTTTCAGGTTCTCACTTTGAGTGAGGCAACACCCATTCAGTGAATAGGTTTTTTAAAGGAGTGAGTCAAGGGATAGCCTCTTTAATTAAAAAACAAACAAACAAACAAACAAACAACAAAGAAATCAAAGTGGGAGGAGAAGAGCCAGAGGGTTGTTGGTCAAAAGAGAAAAGGTTGCTATTTGCATTCACTCTGAGCCAGGATGGCCCACACACTGCATCCTGGGTCATCTCCAGTTGTCCTGATGGATATCTGGCCACTGGACCCAGATGGCTCTTGGAGGAGATAGTGAGGTTGGTGACTTTGCACAGCCCTCCCTCACTCAAATCAAAGTCAATTGCAAGTCATGTCATCATCTCTCTGATATCATGGACCTCTTTAAGAATGAAGGACAAACCACAACCATAGTGCCTTCCCTCAAAAGTTATGTCCAATTTGGCCTCTCTATGTGTTTTTGTACATAGGTGTTCATATGTTGTCTACCCCATTAAATGGCGAGCTTCTGGAGGGCAGGGCAGGGACTGTTTTCACCCTTTTCCAAATCCCCAATGCTTAAAGACACATTGCCTAGAATTCAGCAGGTGCTTAATAAATGCTGGTCTTCTTGCCTTGTTGACAATGGATGCCAAATGAGGAGTATTTTGAGATGGAAAATGGTACTAGAAATGCCTGAAAATGGAAGGAACTTGATAAGAACGTAAGAGGGAGGTGAAGATCTTCTGCTACTCAAAACAGCTTTCTGATGATGGTATAATCGATGACATTTATAGAGTGCTTTAAGATTTATAAATCTTAAAAATGTTTTCTCATTTTATGTTCATAACCCTGGGAGTTAGGTAAGTTGTATTATCTCCATTTTACAGATGAGGAAAATGAGACAGAGATGAAGAGACACATACCTAGTCTTCTGGATTTGAATGTAAGTTTTCCTGACTTCATGGCCCATGTTCTATCCATTGTAATACCTAGATGCCTAATGAGAGCCATTATTATTTTCTGAGAATTTTACCTTTGTGAACAAATCACTTTACTTCTTTGGACTCTGTTTCTTCATTTGTCAAAGTGGAATTGTGTGGACTAACTGAATTTTCAGGTTTCTTCTAGCTCTGAATCTGGGATTAGACATTTTAAAGATGAAGGGAACAGAGACCCAGAGAATCGAAATGATTTGTCTGAGGTGGCATAGTGATACCAAAGGCAGAATTTGAAATGAGGGCTTCTGTTTGAAAGTCAATGAAATGCTTGGCCTGGAGTCAGAAAGACTCATCTTCCTGAGTTCAAATCCAGCCTCAGACACTTACTAGCTGTGTGACCCTGGGTAAGTCGCTTCACCCTGTTTGCCTCAGTTTCCTCATCTGTAAAATGAGCTGGAGAAGGAAATGACAAACCACTCCAGTATCTTTGCCAAGAAAACCCCAAATGGGAGTCACAAAGAGTGGGACATGACTGAAATATGACTGGATAGAAGTAAGCACCTTTATCAACTCAATTGTTGCAGCCACCTTGGGCCTCAGCTTCACCAGTAATCACAACTGGGCTTTGTTATACTCCAATAGCATCGAGTGGAAGTCATCATAAGCACTGTGAATGCCCATTGTCTTGGAGAGAAACCTGGAACTGAAGTCAGGGGGCCTGGTTTTGCATCTCAGCTCTGCTACTGGAATTTCTTTTTGCTAGAATGGAAGAAATAGGTGGCTTCTAAGGTCCCATTTGATGATGCTTTCTGTAAAGACTGTTTAAACTGGAGAGGAGTTCACAGGGGGTCCCGTTTTCCTCCTGGGCCGGTTCATGGGCTCTTTCAGCTCTTCCACTTACTACCTATGTGAATTTGAGCAAGTAAAAAAAAGTCTCTGAGACTTGGTTTCCCCTCCTGTCAAACAAGATGGCCCTTCAGGTCCCTTCTGGCACTATTCCATGGCTTAGAAATGGAAAGATCATCTTGAGAGGTTGCCCAGGGTGGAACAAACAGAAAGGAAGGACTCAGGATTCTCACTCATGGCTTTTGACGAGGAAGCCAGTATCCCCTTAAGGTGCATGGAGCTGCCTCCTCCAGGGGGATGTGTGACTCTGGGAGAGAGGGAGCTAGGGAGGAAGGCAGAGGAGGGGGTGGAAAGGAGAGGCTGTGATAGGGCAGGTGTAGGAAGAGGGAGGATGGGGTAAAGGCAGAATTGAGAGTGGGGGGGAGGAGAAGCAGAGGTGGGGAAGAGGGGGAGAGGCTGGGGCTCGGCCTCCTGCGTCAGGACAACGCCTCTCCCCTCCCACAGAGTTGAAATACCTTTGCCCTGGGCTGTCCCAGCAAAGCTGGTCTCCTCTGGCCCTAGATCCCAGAAGCCCTTGACTTTGCCAGAGAGCTGGCCTTGGAAGGGGAGCAATCATGTCCACTGGCTCCGTGGGCTGCATCGGGTTTGACAGGAGAAGCTCCCAGGTGAGCAGACCTCTGGGACTGGCCGGGGATCCTCCTCTAATTTACTCCCACCACTCCCAGACAGCTTCATCTATCCCATGTGGAAGAACTGAGACATGACTCAGCAGAGGGAGAAATTGTTCCCAGGTTAGACCCTGTCCAAAAGGAAGGTGCATGTCATTTTGAAAGAGAAATTATTACCAGTTTGGAGGATTGAATCTGGGAGAGCTTTCTGAAGGTGGTGACATTTAAAATGGGCTTAGGAAGGATCTGCATTCAACAGTTTAGGGTAAGGGTTAGAAAGTAGGAGGGCATTCCAGACAGAGGGAATATTTTGAACAAAGGCTTGGAGTTGGGAAATTATAGAGCATCAGGAAAATTGGCCAGTTTGAAACTTACAAGGAAGCAAAGCAAAGATGGACAACTCTGAACACAAGGTGTAGTATTTACTATACAGACTTTCTTGAAATGGAAATTTATTGCTGCATATCTTGAGTCTTCTTTAGTTCTGCTGTGCACATGGCAATGCTTTTTTCTTTTCTTATTTTGTATTTAAGTTTTAATATTTAAGTTTATAATATATCTCTTTTTCTTTTCTTATTATATATTTAAGTTTAAAATAAATGAATAAATTAGAAAAAAAAGAAGTTGGCCAATTTGTTGGGAGTAATAAGTCCATAGAGTATAGTATGGAAAACTGGAAAAGTAGGGTTGTGCCAGATTATGGAGGGCCTTAAATGCCTAGGAGTTGGAAGCCATTGAGTAATTTTTTTAAGTTTACCTTTTGTGAGGCAATCAGTTTAAGTGACTTGCCCAGGGTCACACAGCTAGGGAGTATCATGTGTCTGAGGCTGGATTTGAACTCAGGTCCTTCTGACTTCAGGGCCGGTGCTCTATCCACTGTGCCAGCTCACTGCCTTGAGAATGTTGTTTCTACTGACAGAAATAGTGAGGCCAGAAGGAGGACATATTCAGGGTAAGGCTTGAATATGACCTGCTTGAAGTGAGGGAGGTGTGGATATTCACAGGGGGAGAGAGCTAGCTGGTAGCTGGAGATATGGGCCTAGAGCAAAGAAACAGTGTGATACCATGGAACTCGAGATGACCCTGCTGTTCACTCTTGAGTTATCTTGGGCAAGTCACTTAACCCCCCTGGGTCTCAGTTTCCTTATCTGTACAATGGTCCCTTCCGGTTCTAAAGCTTGAATCCTTTGAAAACGATAGTATTGGCAGATCCTTCCATGATGTCTTCCACTGTCCCAAACTGGGCCCTGTGTAAAATAGACCTTTGTTTTCAATGTGGAATGCATGTTGTCCTGACGGTCAGCGATATTCATGAAAATTGGCTACCGTATTTAATCTTGTGAGACTCTGCCTGACCCTTGTTCCTTTAAGCTGATACAACAGGACTGCTAAGAACCTTCTTGCAAGACCACCATGGTTCTGCTGTCAAACCAATCTTCCTAAAGCACGTGTCTGATCATGTCACTTTCCTGCTCAAGAAGCTTCCATGGCTCCCGTTTGCCTCTAGAGTGAAATATAGACTCCTCTATTGGGCATTTAAAATCTTGCCCAGTCTGGCTGTAGGCTACCTTTCCAGTCTTTGTCCTGTTGCTCCCGCATTACGCATTCTGTATTTTAGTCAAAATGGCCAGCAGGTTGTTTCCCTTACACTATATTCCATCTCCTGCCCCCTTATGGGCTTTTTCTTCAGCCCAGCCTCTTTAGCTCTTGGAATCCCTAGAGCTTCATTCAAGACTTGGCTCAGATATTACTTGCCATCTTAATCCTCTCTAGGGGTGAGTACCTTCCCACCCTGAAATTACTTTCCATATATTTTGTACTTTTTTACCCCAACAAAGCCCTGCTGTGCAGCCTTGTTATGCCCTGGCCCTAGGCTTGAGGGTTGTTGCTATGCCAACCCCTCCCCAGTAGAATGTAAGCTCCCTGAGGGCAGGGACTGCTTCACTTCCTTCTTTGTATGTCTAGTCCCTAGCACAGTGCTTGGCATGCAGTAGGCACTTAATAAGTTCTTGTTGAAGATCCATACCGGGGCATGGGGCTAGACAGAGGCCAACCATTCACCAGTTCTGTGTCATAGAACCAGGTAGGACTGAGAAGGGGCCTTGTTCAGGAGAGGGGTTCCTGTGTGGTTCCAGGGTAGGGACACCCTGGCTGTGTACTGGGAAAGGAGGAGGAGCAGAAGCCTGCAGCAGCAGCAATGGGGGTGTGTGGCTCAGACCTCCGAACAGAACAGGGCGTCTCTTCTGGCATCTGGTAGAACCTGCAGAGGCATAACTAAAGGCAGGAAGCTCAGACCAAAGAGGAGCCTACAATTCTGCCCCTCAAAACTAGCAGAGCTTTCCAGCTGGCTGAGAAGGGCAGAGTCCAATAGCATCTGCTCTTGATCAGACCCAAACCCAGGGCAGGAACTTGCAGAGCTTAGACCAGGGTGGGCAACAAGCCAACTTTTCTCTGGATCAGACCACTTCTAGGTTCCTTGGTGGCATAGTGGATAGAGCGCTGGCCCTGGAGTCAGGAAAACTTGAGTTCAAATCTGGCCTCAGACATTTACAAGCTGGCTGACCCTGGACAAGTCACTTAACCCTGTTTGTTTCAGTTTCGTCATCTGTAAAATGAGCTGGAGAAGGAAATGGCAAACCACTCCAGCATATTTTCCAAGAAAACCCTAAATGGGGTCATGGAGAGTTGGGCATAACGGAAAAAAATGACCAAATTTAAAGAGAAGCTTAACTGTGACCACCTAGATGTAGTGGGCCATGTCCAGCACTCACCAATCAGCACAGAATGGTCCCAGGGCAGGAGTTCAGCAACTGAAAGGGTTAAACCCCTGAAAGCATACTCTCTAGTAGAGGATGGTGAGGTGGCCCCCTGAGGCACATAATCTTCCCAACCCTCAGCCTGGTCAGCTCTGCCTCAAGACTTGAGTTTGACTTGGGCTTCCTACCTATAAGACTTTAGTTGATCTTTCTGGGTCTCAGTTACTCAGCTATAAAATGAGGAACTGGATTAGAAGGTTGCTAAGATCTAGATCTTCATCTAGGCTCATATTATCTTATGAAGAAAGGTCTTTCTAATTCCCACCTTAGCGTTCTAACCTCAAAACCATGCTGCCTCAGCTTGGTATGAATATTTACTGTTGCTATTGTGATGATGATGGTGGTGATGAAGATGATGGTGGTGGCGATGATGGCGATGAAAAAGAAGATGATGGTGGTGAAGATGATGATGATGATGGTCGTGGTGGTGGTGGTGGTGGGGATGATGGTGACGATGATAAAGAAGGCAATGATGGTCCTGATCTCTCCTTTCTTTGAAATGGGGAAACCCAAGTTGTAGGAATTCACTCCATCAAGTCAGATGAACAAATCATCTATGGTTTAGTCTTAGAAAGTTGCCTAGAGACACAGAGTAGTTACATTGATTAAGCCAGAATCACAGAGCCAGTATGTTGGCCAGGGGCCAGGAGCAAGACTTGAACCCAGGTCCTTTTTACTCTAAGACCTCTATACTTGGTATAATTAAATGTAATTTCCCCCTTATGTATACTGCTGTTTATTTTGTCCTAAGCTCCGTTTTCCTTCCACAAACACTACTTCCCTTCCCTTCTGAATGGTATATTCTAAGAGTACATATGATAAGTGCACCTGCTCATGGTCTCCAAGGCCTTAAAAAAAGAAATGAATTACTTAGGTTTTGGACCAAAGCAATTTAATAGTCTTTTTTTGTTTGTTTGTTTAACTTCATAGGAAACCAGTTACATTGGTGATAACACTAACCAGAATGGTGCAATATCCCTGATTTTCTCTCTCAAAGAAGAAGTTGGGGCACTGGCCAAAGTCTTGCGTCTATTTGAGGTAAAGACTTTGAACGTTTTTGTTTTGTTTTGACATTGACCATGAACACAGCAAATATCTTAGCTGGCAGATATGTTCCAATTTTTTTCTAATTAAAAAAAAATTGATGTCACCTTCATTTCCAAATAAATCTCCCTCCCCTACCCAGTGAGCTTTTCCCTATAATACACAATGAAAAAGAAAAGGAAAAGAAACGCAGTTCAGAAAAACCAATGAACCCATCAGATCTCCCAATATGGGCAATATTCTACCTTTCTACCTCTGCAAAAAGGGAAGGAGGAGAATTTTCTCACTTCTTCAGGGACAATTATTTTTTTATGGGATAAACAGTAACTTTCTTAGGTACCACAATTTGTTTAGCCATTCTCCAATGGACATCTGTTTTCCCCCCACATCTTTTCTGCCATAAAATTGTTGCTATTAATATTTTGGTGCATATTTTTACCTTTAACATCCTTCGAATATATGCCAGGCACCAGGATCTCTGGGCCGAAGGGCATGACTGTTTTGTCATTTTTCTGGTAAAATTCCAACCTGCATCCCAGGATAGATATACCAAGTCACAGCTCTACCACCTGAGTATTAGTGTGACTGTCTCTCTACAATCCTTCCAACATTCCAGTCAGAATTTTTCCAACTCAGAGTTTTTCTGAACTTCCTAACAGACTTCTTCCAAAATAGAACATTCTACCTTACAAAAGAGTGACTGCCCTGTCACTGAACATGTTGAGAGAGAGACAAAGAAACAGAGACAGAGAGACAGAGAGATTGAGCAATTATTTGGTAGGAATAAAACAATTCAGATTTAATAAGGGACCCTCTGAGGTTCTTTCTGACTGAGATTCTATGATTCTGAGTCTACAGATCATTATTAATAGGTTTTCTTCTTCCTTTCCTTTTATTCTGAGATGAATACTAATTTTCAAAACATTGTAAATTAATTGCTTAGTTAGCTATGGGTATTTTAGCTTTTTTCTTAAAAAACATATTTTTGAGGATAGTTAACAACAATGAAATCCAAAGAGTATAGCGTACAGACAAGTCTATAGGCAGAGTCTCCAAGAAAGGGATGACCCTCAGCTTTACCCTACTAACTTCCACATTGAGGATAGTCATCTCTGTGCCAAAGAGAATGATTCTTTTGCGACCCAGAAAGAACACAGGTTCATCAGGAAAAGGAAATCAAGGGTGGATTCTTTAGAATCCTCCTTTAGACCCATTTGGAAGTTATTTCATGCAGGGGGGATATTGATGGGAGAGAATATTTAGCAAGGGGCCCACTCACTCTTTCTGCCCTCCAATGGACTTCCTGACTGGAGCTACTAGAGCTGGCCATGGGGAACCTTCTAAAGCAAATGTAGTAAGTGGATTTGAATCCAGGTCCTCTGACCCTACATCAATTCTGTTACATATCATATTAGACAAATTTTCATGATCCCAGGCCACCCAGAAGAATTTCAAAGGGCTGACAAGCCAGGCTACTGACTCCCACCCCTGTAGAACATAGGTTATATTATTCTGCAGCAGCCTAACATTTTGAACCAACTTTAAGATCTTTAATGTGTCAATGATAAGATTTTTATCAAATTACTATTTGATAGACTCATTTTCAGAATTACTTAGTTTAATGTTTTGGTTTTAAGGGAGAAAAGAGAACTCAAGATCAAATGAAAATTATTTTTATGGGAAGAGTTTTGAATTTTCTAAAGATTGTTGGTGTGGGAAAGGGAATCTTTTTTTCAGCCTATTTTAGTATCAGCCACTTTCCCTCTCCCATCATTTGTTTGTTTCCTCTCTTAGGAGAATGACATAAACTTGACTCACATTGAATCCAGACCTTCTCTTCTAAACAAAGATGAATATGAGTTCTTCACCAACCTGGACAATCAGAGCATTCCTGCTCTTGATGACCTTATCAAGAGCTTGAGACATGACATTGGTGCCACTGTTCATGAACTTTCCCGGGTGAAGAAGAAAGACACAGGTCAGATTCATGTGTGCTTCATGAGGCCATGAAGTCCAACCTAATAATGACCTACTTTTTGAACCTCATTTTCTTTTTAAAAAAAATCAAATTTCTTGCTATTTCTTTCTGCAGTTTCCCCCCCTTCCTTTTAGATGTTACTATTTTCTTTTCTTTCTTTTTTCTCCCCAAGGCAATTTGGGTTAAGTGACTTGCCCAGGGTCACACAGCTAGTAAGTGTTAAGTATCTGAGGCTGATTTGAACTCAAGTCTACCTGACTCCAGAACCAGTGCTCTATCCACTTTGCTACCTAACTGCCTCTAGATGTTACTGTTTTTAAGGGGGCATTATAATGCAGTAGCAAGATCACTGACTTTTGAGTCAGAGAGCCTGTGTTTGAATCCTGACTCAGCAATTTATTACCTTCATGACCTTGCATAACCCTCCCTAAGCCTCAGTTTCCTCATCTGTAAAAATGAAGGCTTTTTACACCAGATGACTTTTTTGGCCCCTTCCAGCCTTAAATTCATTCTGTCTCTAGATTTTCTTTTATTTACTAATCAACAAGCACTTACTAAGCACCTGCTGTGTGCCAGGCATTGTGCTTTGGGCTGGGGGCAGACGTATAAAACACAAAACATTTATTGCTTTCAAGAAGCTCTCATTCTAATGGGGGAGAGCCCAAGGATCTCCCCCCAAATCTTAGTGCTGTTTTATTAAAACTTAAGAAGGAAGAGAAAGGAGGAAGCTGATTTTAATCTTATTTAAGTTTAAAACAGCATTAAGACTACTTATATGCTCTCATATAATTATAGAAACATATAGATATTACATAGTATTATACATTCTACTATATAATATATAGGAGAACTAGATGGTGCAGTGGCTGGAGTGTTGGCCCTAGAGGCAGGAGGATCTGGATTCAAATTTGACCTCAGACATTTACTAGCTAAGTGACCCTTGGCAAATCACTTCACCCTGTTTGCCTCAGTTTCCTCATCTGTAAAATGAGCTGGAGAAGGAAATGGCAAACTGCTCCAGCATCTTCTCCAAGAAAACCCACATGGGGCCATGAAGAGTCAGACAGGACTGAAATGACTGAACAACAACAGGCGCGATGGAGGGGCCAGGGAAGAGGTAGAATGACGTGGGCTGAAATTTAGATGCAATGACTCTCTTTATCCCTCCCTCAGTAGAAATGGTATATCTAAAAACTGAATCCAAGTCTTCTGCCTCCAAGTCCAATGGCGTCCTTCATTTGTGATTGAATGGCTGCAGCTTAGAGGTTCTGAGGGATGTTGCATTTCAGGGCTCAGAGGTCAAGCCAACTTGCATAGTTTTCTCCTACTTCCATTTCTAAATCCAAGCTGTTTCTCAGTATAGACTTTTAATGGGACCATGGAGTCCTTGAACCAAAATACAGCTGAGTCACAGATGTACCGATTTAGACCTGAAAGCCATCTCAGAGGCCATCTGCTGTAATCCTCTCATTTTACAAAAGACGTAACTGAGTCTCAGAGAAGGATAGTGACTTACTCAAGGTCACAAAAGTTATAAGTAACAAGTTGGGATTTTAGCTTAATTCCTCACTCCAAATCCAGCCCCCCTACCCCACTCTCACCCCTGAGGTCCATAAGGCTCAAAATAATGTTTTAATGGGCTGAGGCAGTACACAGGGCAAAGATCAACCTCTTGCAATGCAACTATGTATTGCTTTACTCCTGACTATGGATCTAAGAAACATTTTAACAAAGCTAATTAAATACCTCCCTAGAAATCCTCTCCATAAAAGCAGAGATCTGGAGCTCGAGATCATTTAATCCAGAGGTTCTCGACCTGGATGTGTGTATCATAGACCCCTTTGGCAGCTGTGTGAAACTTATGAACTGCTTCTCAGAATAAAGTTTGTAAGTTAATAAAATAAAATACAAAGGATTAAGAAGGAAATTAATTCTATTGAAATACAGTTACTGACATTTTAAAAAAGCCATTGGATCTCAAGTTAAGAATGATTTGGTTTAAACCTTCGATTTCCCACTCTTCTCCCCCCATGTCTCTCATATGAAAGATGGGGAAACTGACTAACCCAGAGTTAAGTGGTTTGTCTCATACAGGTAGTTAATAGAATGACCACGAATCCAATGTAGGTTTTTGGGATCTCGAATTCTGTGTTGTTTCCATTTAATTTCTGCTTCCTCTGAAAAGAATGGCTAAGGCTGGGGGGATGAATTCCTTGGTGACTGACAGTTGCTACTTCATTGCCTAAGGGTAATTGGGCATATTAAAAGACTTTGAGCCATGTGTGGGGGGAGATGAGGGGGAAGGGTTCAGGTCTTTGGGAGGTAGGATGCATCAATGCCTGGTAAGATCAAGCTCCATCTTACTTCTTTTCTCCTCCGTCAAAGCTGGTGGCTGAGTCCCTGATGACTTCCATGCCCCACTTGCTTGGCCACCTGCTCTTAACTGGAGCCCCAGGCCAGGAAGTACAAAGGGCCCGTCTCATCAAATAGCCACTCTGGCTCTGGCTGGAGCAGGTGGAGTCTGGGACCAGCCAGAACACTTGAGCAGGAAATCAAGACAAATGACAAGCAGCTAGCCTCCAGGGGAGCCCGGGAAGGTGTTATGTCATGGAGGGCTTTTTGAAGTGGGAAGGAGGAAGGAAGAGAAAGAACGGAGGAAATCTGGTTAAAGTGAACAAGATGACTGGGTAAAGAGATGTATTTGTAACAGTAGCTATCTCTGTGCAACCACAAGGGACCCAGCAGATACATAGCTATTTATTTCATATAAGTTAGAGCTGAAAGGAACCTTGGAGATCATTTGGTACAATTTTCTTATGTTACAGCTGAGGAAACTGAGCCCCAGAGATGTATTATTTCTGTATATATCTTGACCAGCCCTTATCACAGATATTTGATGCAGAGATTTTTTCCCCCCAATCAAGAGCTTCCCTTTTTTATCTTAGGTGCATTGATTTTGCTCATATAAAAGCTTTACAATTTCATGCAATCAAAATTATCTGTTTTATCTTGTATCATAGCTTTTATCTTTTGTTTGCTTAAGAATTCGTCCTGTAGCCATAGCTGTAAAAGTTGCCTGATTGAGCTATCTTTTAATTTTTTTTTTAATGGTGTGATCTTTTTCAGGTCCCATATACATTTTGAGCTTATTGTATTATTTGGTGTAAGACACTGGGGAAAACCTAAGTTGTCAGGCAGTTTAGCAGGAATTAAGGGGAATGCATATCACTGTCTTGGAAAGAATTCTGGATTAAAAACGGAATTTGAACTTCAACTCTGTCACTAGCTTTGTGACCTTGGACAAGTAATTTTACCTTTCTAGTTCTCAGTTTCCTTATCTGTAAAATTAGGGGGTTGGACTCAATGATCTTAAAGATCTCATCTAGCTCTAAATCTTATCCCATGATTTACCCAAGGCCACCTAGGAAGTGAGAGGCAGATCCTTTCATCTGTCCTCACCCTGTATGCCACCTCCTAGATTCAGTACATTTCCCCCGTGAGGCAAAAGGAGTAAGGAAGACTGGTTTTCTACAGGGCAATAGAAAGCAAGAGTTTTCCAGAAGTGGGGCCAAGCATTTAATATAGGGAACAATGATGGTAGATGGTCTTATAAATTCTATTGAACTTTTATTAAACACCTGCTATTTTTAGTACTGCTAAATAAAAAAAAACAGCTTCTGCCATTAAAGGGCTTACATTCTTTTAATAATGATGCTTCATATTTCTATAATTATTTCAGTCTTATGAAGCTCATTCCTTGCAACTACTCTATGAGGTAGTCGAATTGGTGGTAAAGTGGCTAAACTCACTGGATTTGGAATTAGAAGTCTTGAGTCTAAATCCTGCTTCAAACACTAAAGGGCTATGTGACCCTGGGCAAATCACTCAATCTTTGCCTGCCTTGGTTTCCTCAATTGTAAAATGAGGATAATAATAGCACCTTTCTCCTATGATTGTTGTGAGGATTAAAAGAGATCACTTATGTCTAGTGCTCTAAACCTGAAAGTGCTTTTTAAATGCTAGCTGTTATTGTTAGCACAAGAATTATTATCCTAGTTTTATAATAAGGAAACTGAGGCTCAGATAGGTGTAATGACTTTCTTAAGGTCAGGGCCTAGGATACAACCCTAGCCTGTCTGAATTAGAAATCAGTATTATTCCCACTCTGTAATATTGTCTTTCGATAGCCCTGAGGAAGCAATATGTTGGAAAGAGAAGCATGTCTTTTCAGAGAGGCGTTATGGAGAAACAATCAACATGCCAATCTACAAGCATTTTTTAAGTTTGTATCATGTGCCAGGTGCTGTGTGCTCTAGTAGTAGTAGTAGTAGTGGTAGTAGTAGTAGAAGTCATAGTAGTAGTAGTAGTAGTAGTAGTGGCAGTAGTGGTAGTGGTGGTGGTGAGTGGGTGGTAGAGGTGGTGGTACTACTGGTACTACTACTCCTGCCTCCTCTGTCACTGCCACCGCTGCTGCTGTTGCTTCTGCTATTATTACTCCTACTACTCCTACCCCTACTCCTACTCCTACTCCTTGCAGTCCTGTATAGTGAGCCAGCCACAGAGCCACTAAGACTAAGGCTCAAGTCTTATCTATAATACACACTGGCTATGTGCCCCCAGGCAAGCTACATAACCTTTCCTTGCCCAAGGAAACTCTATCATTTCATCAGTCAATAAACAAACATTTGTGAAGTTCTATGTGCCAGGTTCTGTATGCTATACTAGTAGTAGTAGTAATAGTAGTAGTAGTAGTAGTAGTAGTAGTAGTAGTAGTAGTAGTAGTAATAGTAGTAGCAGTAGCATTGGTGGTGGTGGTGGTGGTAACAATAAAAACATTAATAATAATATTAATAATAATAATGGCAGTTGTGACACAGTGGATATTGAGCCAATCATGGAGCCAGTAAGATCCAGGGTCAAGTCCCATCTCTAACACTTACTGGGCTTTATGATCCTATATAAACTCTCAGTGCTGCAGGAAACTCTATCAATCAGTCAAT